TGTCTACCACAGTGCTTAGCAGATTAGCATGCCATAAATTCTTATGAGAACAGAAAAAACAAAACAATGAAGACAGGGTGGAAGAGGGATGAAGGGAGCCAAGAAGGAAATAAACTAACATGGATTTAAGTCACTTTTCAATAAAGTCTCCTTAAAGTTTTAAAAATCTTATTAACTATTAATTATTAAATTCATGTCTAACTCAGTGATTGTTAATTAGCTGCGAACAAGTGGGAAAATTGTAGGAGAATATAGTGGCTTCTCAGACCCCCTTATCAAATGAAGTAATTGTTCAACACACATTTTCATAATGAGGGTTCTCCTAGGGGCTAAGATAGCCTAAATAGAGATCAGAGCTTTGAGTCCTATGAAATAATATAAAGGGAACAGGATGAAAGAAAAACACACACAACTAATTAAAACAAGATAAATTATGTTAAAAAGCATTCAACTGTGAATATATGTTCTGTACGAATCAGTGTCCACTGCAGTTCTTTTAATTTGTTCGCAAGTGGATGGCTTATGTTCCTTCTATGCTCTGCTGTTGATACTAATTAGCACAGGTTTGAGGTGCCAAGGGAAAGAAACCAAAACATAAATAAAAACAGTTCAGCAGATGGTAAGGAAAGATGAATGCAAGGCAAGAGATTCATAAGTTCAGAATTAGAAATATTTTAAAGGATGCAGAGAAAACATAAAGGTATGTTCTCTTTCACCACAGATGCTTTATAAGAAAATGTTCATAATGTATACCGCTCATACCAGAGTGTTCCTTACCACACATCCTTCTCTCCATAGACAGTGAGTTAGGTAATCACATCTTTGTATTCAAAAGAGGGAAGTTTTAAACACATTCTAAATTACTGTATTTGGTGGTATAGTTTGGGCTTTTGGGGATTTAGGGGCAGTGTGGCCTGGAAAATACCCGTTCACTTCTCCAGACTAATTTTCAAAGAATGGAAGGCACTGAGTCAATCAACCTTTCTACTGTGTTTGCATTGTTTTCACAATCTGAAGAGTGTGATAGAATGTTCCTCATCTGCATTTTCCATCAAGGCTAGAAGACAGATTTAATTAAAATTCGTGTATACAATCAGCCAGTTCCTACTAAATAAAAACTTGATGCTAGGCTGTAGGTGCTTCATAGACATAAGACCGGTTCCTCCTAGCAAGAATGTATCTGTCTTTGGAGCAATTCCAAACCGTAAACAAATTTGAAATATCAGAACAAAATGAGTACTGAAATAGTTAAAAGCAATACATCATGAAACAAATAAAGCTAAAAATAATGCTTCATAGTGTCAGGAGGGAAAATAGTACTTCTGGATGCAGTAGCATTTAATTTGGCAAGAAGGATGAGTCAGTATCCAACAGCAAAGATGACTGGAGAGTGTATGCCACCGAGGTAATGTTATGCCACCTTTAACAAGGTCTCTGCTCAAATGTCACCTTCTTGGAGCACACTTTGCTCTCATCTCCCACGTTATTATAGTTACCCTGTTAGCAAATCCTCTTAAAGTATTTTGCACACAGTTATCTTTTTTTGATAAAATTATAATAGATATTAACCAATTCTGGTGACTCAGTATCTTTTAGAGTTGGGCAGGTGATGAGATAATCCTAAAACAAAAAGATGATTTAATTGATTAAATGAAATTGAGAGGCCAAGGTGGATTGCTTGAGCCCAGGAGTTCAAGACCCACCTGGGGAAATAGGAAGACCCCCATCTCTACAAAAAAAATTAAAAAATTAGCCAGGTGTGGTGGTGCATGCCTGTAGTCCCAGCTACTTGGGAGGCTGAGCTGGGAGGATTGCTTAAGCCCAGAAGGTTGAGACTGCAGTTAGCCATATTTATGCCACTGCACTCCAGCCTGCACAATACAGCAAGACCCTGTCTCAAAAAAAACAAAAAACAAAAAACAAAAAACAAACAAACAATTAAAAAAAAAAGGAGTTTTATTCATATCCTTTTACTATTTTTCACTAAAACAGCATACATATTTTACTAAAACGGCATACATATTTTACTGATTTGGCAAGATGTTTTCTATAATTTTTCAACTAACAGTGATAGGTAAATGGAAGTTTTGTAGGACGTTTTAACATTCTGAAGATGACAAACTGACTCGCCTAAATAGGGAAATGGTCTAAGAAAAAATGTGAATAATTCGAAGTTTTTTTTAAAAAAATAAATTTAAAAAACAGTGAATATTTACTAAACTAGAAATCTCTGAAAAGCCAGGCAGTCTCCTATTATCTTACCACTAAAGTTACTTTCCTGTGTGATTAAATCATTTTTGAAAAAATGCTTTGTAAATATATAACACTTTATGATACTTCACTTAATTATTTCCTAATTATTGAAACATTTCCTAAGTATTGAGACCAGGATTTTGTCATTATAAAAATGCTGCAATGAACATGTTTATTCAAAAATATTTTTCAATATTCAAGTTAATTTTTAAGGATAAAGTGAGTTAGACATTAAGTAGGGTAGTCATATCATTGTATTCCAGAAGAGAATGTAGTTTTAATTTTATTCTAAATTATTTTGTGGTATAGAGATTCGGACTAGTGAGGGAGGAGAGAAATACTAGATCAGTGTCTATACAGATGGAATTACATACTCTGCATATTTCGTTTTAGTCATTACACTGTAAGGTTCTTGCCATTGATCCTGGTATAGCATCATATACAGTATATAACTAGATTCTAATATATGTTGAGGTAGCACTAATTTAAGCATTCAAAAACCTATGATGTAACATGTTATAGAAATATACTAGTGTCGCTGAAATGTTACGAGGTATTATTTTGATAAATATAATACAAATATTTAAAATACATTATTTAATGGTACCTTCATTCTATTATTTGACCTTCAACACAGTTAAAATATTTGAAGGGGGATTTAGAGTTAAGCTTAGATATGCCTAAATGGTTACTTTCATATTGGGTCTAAATGGGCTAGGTGGTGTCTGTGACCATATCAAACTGAAGTAAGAACTATACAAAATTTTCAGATTGTCTGAAACAAAATTTTCAGATTGACCATATCAAATTGAAATAAGAACTATACAAAATTTTCAGAGTTAATAAAAAAGTACTTGATTCTGGGTTTGAAATACTACACATGAAGTAACAGCAGGATTTGCGGTGGTGGTAAATTAGTTTCATTGCTAAACAGGAAAGATAAAACTACAGATAATATAAATGAATAGAGATAGTGTGTACCTGGCTACTTTGAAAGGGACGTGTAATCCGAGAACCAGGAAAAAGTTGAATAAGTGGAGTGATTTTTAAAATGGATAAATAGCAATCATAGTTAACATGTATCAATTACTTGCTATAAACCAAGCACCTTTCTAAGCTCTTTTTATGTGTTAGCCCAGTTCTTTCCTCCAGTCATTAAACCAGAATGTCTGTTAGTAGGAACCAGTCATCTGGGGGATTGTATAAAAGTATTGATACTTTTATTGAGTTTTATTTTAAAAGTATCAATACTTTTAAAAGATCCCCCCGATAATTCCAGTTTGCAGCAAAGTCTGGAAACCACTCAACAATGGTGCAGTATTGACATTCTTGTACTTATAAAGTGAAAACTGAGTCACAGAGAAGTAATTTGCCAAGGTCAAACAGCTGACACATGATTCCAGGTGTTCTGGTTTTTGAGCCCTTCTTCAACCACTGCAATGTCTCCCCAGTGCTTTAGTGACTAGTTCCTGTAAGAAAGCAGCTGGTATTCAAAAGTATGTCTCAGTGAAATACTAGATTGCTATGTCACTCACCTTTAGTGTCATTCCCAACTTTAAATTCCATGAGTACCAAGGGTATGTGATGGAGTAATAGCTCTAGCAAATGATTTTGTTCTCCAAATGAAAAACGAATGACTTCTAACAGAGTCCCATTCTGTGAGCTGAGGACCCCTAGTGGGCATTGTAATAATAACTCTTCTGAAAATAATTTTTCAGATGCATGTATATGCTGTTGGGATTAACAAAATAGTTTCATTTAAAGTACCGCAAAAATTACAAGAACTCTTAGTTACTCAATTTTTTTCAATGAAAAGATTTCCAAAATATCACTAAACGGAAAGAGCCAGATGTCTTGATATTACTCAAAAAAGGCTGTGAACTCCTGCTTTAGACGATATATCATCTTCAGGGCAGCCATTCTTTTTGACAAGCGGCACCCAGAACAGTTGGACCTACTGAAAATAACAGAATTGCCCTTTAGAACTCAACCAGTAACAGAACTGTATTATGGCTAATACACCTATTTTTATTACAATAAATTTTAGAAAAAAAGGCATCAGCCTACAAATGAGCATTTGTAACCCTTGACCAAATACCAAGTGCCAGTCAGCATAAAGTAGAACTAAATGATACAATGTGCATGTTCTTCATGTTGAAACTTTGGTATTCACTGGCTATCTGTAGAAATTGCAAAGCTTATATGTGATGCCAGGACCCACTTCAACAAAATTTTTAATCTACCATTTAAGAAATTCACACACACACACACACCTCAGAAGTAATATCATGGCCTGGCTCATAGTGCATATGCATACATTCTTTTATCCCTCTGAATACAGTGCCATCATCTCTCTTGGACGGCCTGATTTCCAGTCCTAGTCAGCAGATGCAGCAGTCAGGCAAATAACATTTCTTTAATAAAAGATCATGATCTATAACTTTTTTTCTTACCGTTTTCCACCCCGACACTTAAAACTATTTCAATCAGCACTTAAAGTGTCAGACAGGGAAAGGCAAGAATTTCAGAAAACACTGGGCACAGGATGGCAATGTATCCTGATTTAGATTCTTTCTCTCATTATCAAAGGATAATTAGTGAGAAAGACAACAAACGCCTTCCTTGCAGTTGCAATCAGTTAAAACCAGGTAACAAACTTGTACATCAATATGTTTGTAAAGATACATATTCATGAATACATGAAACTCGCAAAAATAATTTAGTATTCAATCTCAGATACACAAATATACTTAAGAAAGAGAAGTTTTATTAGGGCAATTTCACTTTATTTTTCCATACAGCAAAGTCAACTACCGCAGTAATAATAAAATAAGCATAAAACAAATTGCAGCCCAAGACAAAATACATAATTTTAAGCAACTACAAGCAGAAAGTAAGTTGTGATTACATAATAGTAAAACCAAGCACATTTGTCCTTTCAGCAGATGAAAGTGGTAGGGTTGCTGATAAGTGCAACATTATTAACCAGCTGGAGTGAAGGCTGGATACACTAATTCTTTTAACAAGTGCCCATTATCACATTTTGCATTTTTGAGTGCTTCTGAGTTGAAAATTAAAACCGTGAAATTTGAACTGCGTTTTATTTTTCACCTGCTGAAAGAACAGGATCCTACAGCAATTAAAAAACAATCACATAACAACTATAGCTACAGTGTGCTGTTTGGTTTGCCTGTTTATGATTTAAATTTTGTGAAAGTCAATACTCGTTTTGAAGATTTTTTTGTGAACAATAAACCACTGAAATTGGCAGAAACTGATCTGAATAATATATGTTCTTAGTATAGTTCTTTCTCTCTTTTTTTGTTGAAGTTTTAAACATGCAGTAGTTTTGAAAAATGTAAGGAATATCTGATCCATGATTTCACCTTAATGGTAGAAGTACCTGCTATTTTTGGTAATGATCTTCAGGCAGATTTGGCCCCATGGAGTTTTTGTCAGTCATGAGGGTTTGAAAGGATGGCGTATCTTTCCAGCTGAAAAAATCCTGGCAAACTACAAGCTGTCCACAAGAAAGCAAAGCAACATGTTTGAAGGGGTATGGAGTGCTAACTCTGTGCCACTTTTGCAAGCAATTTTGCTCAGTCTGTCATTGTATTAGCCTTAACAAAACTCCTTGTAATTATAGACGTTTTTATTCAAAATAAGATCTTACTATTATACAGGTTTCTCTCTTTTGACTATATACAGAAGTGCAAAAAGTCAACCTTCTCTCTAGACGTTCCAACATGCTAAATTGCAGCATAATCAACCCTCAAGAGTTTGCACACACGCTATAATTTTCATTACGTAAACTTTGAGTATTTGGATTATCAACAAAAAGTCCCTTGTTCTTTATTGATTATGCAGCTTATTTATAACAAGGCCTGATATTCAGGGATTTCAAAAATATTAAACAATATTTTAACATTTGAAATGGATACAGTAGAAAATAAATTTTATTCTAATATCTAGGATCTAGATCTTCTTATAATAACTAATTACAAACAAAATAAATCATCAAAATATTACTCAATTGTCTGCCAGGATTGTTGCGATAGCAACAACTTAACTTCTTACTTAGCAATGATTATATATTTATAAGATATCCATATAAAAGATCTTTGTTCTTTTAATGAAAACTAGACAAGAACTAACAATGACTGACATTCTTACACTGTAATATTAAATCAGTAAAATATAAATCATTTAGTTAACAATACGAATATTCATATGACACTACATGTAATTCAAAACTGAGTATGTTATGAAGGAAAAACTACTTTTTTTTTGTATTTTGAAAAATTCATCGGTAAAATCTAATAAAACAATAGTCTATAAACTGAAATGGTATTCAATTGTTAATAGAAAATGAAAATCTAATAAATGTAGGAAATGAAAAACTACATTTTAACAAGAAAAATAAGTAATATTCTATAATGTAACTAACTACAATAACATGTGAAGTCACCATTACTTTCTTAACACGATTGAAATTACATTGGTATGGGTTCCAACCCGTAATGTAATAATCTAAGGCTTTAATAGATGTACAGTACAATCAGTAAAATCAACACATCAGTCTTATATTAGAAAGCATCTCTCTCAAGCATAAAAACTTGCAGTAAACTTGGAAGTATGGAAAGTTCTATAACTGAACTTTCACTTCTCCCATTCCATACTATAACTACCAGTGACCTGGCCCCTACTTCAGCAATTTTTAGAACTGCCGAACAGAGCAAAAATATCCTTTACTAGCTGCGACATCCAAACCTCAAAAAAAGGAATTCCTTTGGATGATTCCATTCTTAAAAACTGAATGCACATCTATTTTTTTTTAATTTTGTAAAAGGCTTTCTAAGGCTATAAGCAGTTAATCTGAACAAAACAAAACAAAACAAAAATCACATATAAAATTCACCCATGTACTTAACCCACCCAATTACTGTTAATTAAACATTTCCCATTTTCATATTTTGGTTTATCATGCATCTGATGACAGTGCTGCTTTCTTCTTTGTTTAGAGTCACTATTTTGAATGTGACTGTGATGAAGCATTTAAGCAAACGTGAAACCATTTTTGCAAAGCATTTATAGTCTTTTGACTTTTGACAGAGGCTATAAATAGAAGCAAAATAATTTCCTCAAACATTTTTTGTTATTGTGTCTCAGAAATGGCAATCCCTTTTGAATAACATGTTATACAGTATAGTATGCATAAATATTACACTACAATGCATTAAAATAATTTTACATATATCTATTATATATATCTCCAGTATGTGTGAGTTTATCTGTATTGAGAGAGTTTGTGTTGTGCTGTCTATTGTTACTGTAAAGTTAAATTGGCCATTTCTGAGACAGCTTTGGTTTCAAAAAAAAAAAAAAAAAAAAAAAAAAAAGAGAAAAAAAAAAGAATGGTGCCCTTTGACTGATTAGTACTAGCAAATATGCAACAAAATGTGGCTCTGAAAACAATAACACTGAAGAAATAATACTCTAATTTGATGTACAGTCTATGGCACTTCATGAGAATCCTTAACAACATGGTACTTAAAGCCATGATGTGCTTTAAAATATACACAGTTGTGGTTTTGCTTGGCACATTCATCTCTGTCAGATCCCTCCCTCACCACGTCTTACAATCTATTACATTAAAAATATTACTCTTAAACAAAAATGACTGTGCATGCACGCTCTCATCTATAATGGCAATTTTAAATACAAGGTGCACCTTTGTTATTTGTAAACCTTGAAAGAAATAAACTTATTTTAAAAAAATTATATCTTGGTCTACAGACGTACCAATACATAATAGAATCATGGTTACACCATAGTCTGTCTTTTCAAGATGGCATGAATATATAGGAAACTAATTAGGTATGCATCTTTGAATGCATAACTCTGTGCTAGAAAAGAAAGACAATGTTGTTCTTTTAGACAGGAATATCACCTCAGCACAAATATCAATTAAATGTACAAAGTGTATAGGCAACAGTGTGCAGTGGATTTCCATGTTGTCTTTTCTTCTGGTTAACATGCAATATGTGGATGTCTTGTGGCTGAGGAACTTTTGTGTGTGTTGCTTGACGATATATACAATATGGCTAATGACCTCATCCTTTACTCTAACCAAGCACACTGTCCTTTCCTCTTTAGCATGATCTACAAGGGAAAAAGAGAGAATCTTTGTTAGAACAGATAGTATCTAAAAGCAGTTTCTAATATACATTTAATATGAAAATTTTCTTTTTGATTAAGCAGTATATTCACAAGTTATTATATCTTCATATAAAAACAAAAACCATTTCACAAGAGTAGACAGAACAAAATCTGTCTATCATCTCTATACGAACGAAATAATGTGTACAATTTAATAAAACTGTAGAATGTGCTAAAAAATTTACTAATCCTAAACTAAAAGTATAAAATACATTTGCAGAATCAAGGGGCATAATATACACAGTTCTTTTTTAGCACAATTGTTGTAGGGCAAAATTTAAACTTACTTCTTTTCTGCAGCTTAATAAGGTTTCAAGAGTAAAGGTCTGGTCTACAAAATTAAAATTCATGTCATATGTTCTATTAAACAAGATTTATTCTATTTGGGTGCTTGATTAGCATAATGCAGGTTTAGAAAAAAAAAGAATGATACTTTAAGTGATGGCTTTGGATAATTCAGTTTGTTGAACTTTTTTCTCCTAAAACTAAGAAAATAAAAATCATTCTTTTTGAATTACAGAATTATTACTCATGAATTAAGTTGTAATAGATACTACAATGTACTTGTGGATTAACAGTTCCAGTTTTTACAAGAAATTTGTTCTCAGCAGGGAATCTTTACATATATTAAAAGTATGCTTCACAATACAACCTTGAAAATGAAAGAAATCACAATCTAGTGACTCAAAAATCAGTTTAAATGTTGCAACTCCTCATGAAGATGAGCAACCATTTCTTAAATGAACAGAACATTAAATGCTTAAGCTTCAAAGACAAATCTACTGGTCTGCTAATTATTTTTAGAATTTTTTTTTTCAACCTAGATTATTGCTAAGAAATAGAATACAGTTAAATATACACATACCAAACACACCTAATTGACTATAAGAGCTTGAAATAGATTGCTTTGGCATGTCAAACAAACTCTTCTTCTAAACCAACAACACTACAAAGTAATGCTGCTGCTTCTAAAAATGTGGCTATTGTTCAGAATCTGAACCTTTTTTATCAGAACTGCTTTGAGAAAACTTATGAAATAGACAAAATCAATTTTAATAATTCACGACTGCAGCAAGTCTTTGGCAGTACTTTTCCGATTGAGCCTATCATTTCTTTCTTAAATGGCTATTGAATTCTGCCTATCCTCCTTTCTTGCATGGGCTTTGACTTTGTCCAGCTTTGCTACAGATTAACATCACAAGAGTTTCTGAGTTGGTTCTCAGCCACCATCGTTTCCTGACTTGGCACACTGTCCTTCTTTTACAAGGCCTTTACACCTCCACTGTCCTTAGAACAACACCCTCATTGTCCAAATTCATTTGTTTATGGATCCTGTTGGGAATAGCTGCTCTTCATCTTTGCTCTAAGAGAAATTTCTTCAAACCTCTCTTATTTTAATGTATTATCCTGAAATTCCTTACATCTTTATCTTATTGTCTATTTATCTTTATCTCCTTGCCATGGTAACTAACACAATGTAGCACCAAAAACTCATTTGTAAATATGTTAATACACAGATAAAAAAAGGAAGCAACAAAGAATGGTCACCCATCTTAACCAATTTCCGTTTTAAGCATACTGTCTCTTTCTAAATATAAAAATAAGTAATTAACAAGCATCTGAGCACATGTTATAACTTGAATGCACGCATACTGGACGAAACGTATTCCTATGGATGAAAAATGGGCACCTTTGTAAGTATTTAAGACAGTGTTCTTAAAGACAAAATACAAGATATTTTAAAGACTAAATACAACACTTTCAAACCATTTTAAAAATGTTGCAATGGCAACATTTTCAGAATTATATGATCCTCTGAGGTAACTACTTTAAAGTACCTAAGATTCATTTGAATATGTAGATTTGTGTGTACACATATATGTGATTATGTGTATATATTTATTTAAAGTGAGACTCACTACTTTTTTTTTTTTTTTTTTGAGACAGGTCTTGCTCTGTTGCCCAGGTTGGAGTGCAGTGGCACAATTGTGGCTCATTGTAGCCTCAACCTCCCGGGCTCAAGTGCTCCTCCCACCTGAGCCTCCTGAGTAGCTGGAACTACAGGAGTGTGCCACCATACGCAGCTAATTGTTTTATATTTTTTGTAGGACAGGGTTTGACCATGTTGCCCAGGCTAGTCTCAAATTCCTGGGCTCGAGCAATCCACCCACCTTAGTCTCCCAAAGTGCTTGGATTACAAGTGTGAGCCACCACGCTTAGCCAAACTCATTATATTCTAATGCCCCTGTGTATGGTGGTGCATGGGATGAAGTGAGTACATGGTTCCATTTAAGGTTTAGCCAAAGAATAAGAAAAAAAAAAATAAGTGATAATCTACACCAGGGGTCAGCCAAAATACTGCCTGTGGGCCAAATGTGATGTACTGCCTGTTTCTGTAAATAAAGTTTTACTGGAACACAGCCACACCCATTTTTTACACGTGGTCTCTGGCTGCTTTCATGATACAATGGCAGAGGAGAGTAGCTGCAACAGAAACCATACGGCCCACACAGCAAAAATACTTACTGTCTGACCCTGTAAGAAAGTTTGCCAACCCTTGATCTATACCTTCTAACTACTTTTTGGTCATATGTTTTATGTTTGTGTTTATTTCTAATCAGAAATTTTAAAAATTTATTTTCTCTTGATACTTTGTATATTTAAGTGATATTAACATATTTGTTATAAATGTCTGATAAAATTCCTCACAACCCATTTAAGATAAAAATGTGACCTGTATATAAATATTTTCTCAGAGATTTTGCAAAATTTTAAGTGCACTATACGATTGCTATCTTAAAAAAACCCAGCACAAATATGCTACTATATATTACATAATGAACTTACTGTTTAGTGATGAAAATTCTACATCTGGGTAACATACTTGTGGCTAGTCAGATGTTCGGCAGATATTATGGGTATCTAGCAAATAAAAAATTATTTAATGAATGATCCATGCAAGCAAGCCAACAATCAAGAGATGAAAACATTTTAATATTAAATTTTTAAAGAAAAGTGAAATTCAGCTGTGAGGTGATAGTCCTTATCTGGTCAACATAACAGTAAGTTAATGTAAACTTAAATTCCAAAGTAGCAACTAACTTTAAAATCTTCATGTTAAATACTATTCTGTAAATGTTACCAGCTTTTAGGAAATAAGATAAGTAAAACTATCAAAAATTCATGCAGAGCAGTATTGAAAGAAGCCCTTTTTGTTGGCCTACACACACACACACACACACCCCCCTGTGGTTTCAGTTACTTAGTAATCATTCAGAAATCAGATAAGGAAATGTCTTGTCTATTTTTGTGCAACCAAATTTCTGACATTTTCGTTCAAATTAGGGTGTCTAACTTTTTTTTTCCAAATTAAAAATACCAGGTAAGAATTATAAAGCAGTAATTCAAAGAACTAGGTAAGAGCCTAAGTTTACTTCAGAACATATTTCTGAATCCTGATGGCACCTTTTATTGTATTTTAAATGGGCAAGAGAATTAGAGAACTTGAGAGAAAATACAGTAAGAAACCAATATAGAGTTGACTTATTTCAATAGTTCCCAAAGTTAGAACTTCAAATTTGTAGCTTGATTTTTCAACCCGAAATTAATGGCTGCTAACCTGAGAGAGGCAGCACAATAGATTGAGACTGTCAGAGGACTGAAGACACGGGTTCTACCCCTAGAGATCCATTTACTGGCTGTGTGACCCTGAGCAAAGCAACTCATTACTCTATGCTTACGTTTCTTCTATAAAACGATACTAATCCCATTTCAGCAATGTTGTTGGGAGAATAATAAAATCACATACACAAAGGCATTTTGTTGCTGTTTTTTCAATTTAGACATCTTAGGCTAATTCAACATACTACAATCCACAGTCTGGCGTGTATATTAATATGTCCCTGTTTTATTTCCAGTTCTCAGCTGACATTTTTACACAATTTTACAGCATTGGCAAATGGCACGAAAATGTGCTCCAAGCATAATGAAGCTTCTCATACCATTTTTCCTGCTGCTGCAGGACAGGATGTTGCACCCAACAGTGTAGAAGCATCAAGGATGGGGCTGTCGAAACATACCAAGGACCTTCAACACCAATCGATGCAGATGAAGGGCCAGCTATAAACTTCTGCATGCATGCAGGCTGCATTTTGTGGCATCAGCTATTTCCAGCATTGCTAATGTACTGTAGGCATATACATATGTATGTATATGTAGATATAATATATGTGTGTATATATATATCCATTCCCTTTTCTTTCTTTTGGTTGTCAAATAGTATGAAGACCCAAGATTATGCATGAAATGGTCACAGCACAATGCAAAAAGTAAAGTGTCCCCTACAACCCAGGTGGCCAAGGGCATGTTGAAATTTGCTCTGCTATAGTTCTGCTTACACCAGCAATTCTACGGTCATACATGGTACGCGCATGAGAGTTCTTTATCACTGATTTGCACCACAGATGGATTGTATTGAATCCATCGTGATAGTTCTACCAAAGATTACTTATTAACATGCCACATATGCACCATCTAGCATTCTTGTAAATGAGTCTGATGTGTTCACATAAACCCAGGGCTATTTTGACAAGTTTCTGAAAAATTAATGATTCTTTGCCAAGAAATGTTTAAAGCTTGACTGAAACGTTAAATTCATTTTTGTATTCTGATTTTGAAAGTTTTGAATGGTTGTACTAATAGCTGAATGTTCTTCATCAACAGTACGTGATGTATTTTAGAACAAAGGTGGCTACTCCTCACAGTAAGAACAACAAATCGATGTCTTAATTGGTCTTCCGTTTCCAAGGGGGAACATGTTGATTCTCATCTGATACTAATTCTTTTGAGACTCATTTGACTACATTTAACCTTCACCTGTGGATTATCTGAAATGTGGCTTGGCTCTATTTTTCTTCATACACTGTCAACTCTATTGAAGCCCAAATCTATTTTACATAAATGAAACTTGAAATCAACCAGTATTTTCTAGAAAATATTTTTAAGTAGAATCAGAAAATGCTGGGTGAATAAATGTCAATTTTTAAATTTTAAAATATTTTAAATCATCATTTATTTTAAAATAGTTATTGTATATCATAAAATTTAAATTTATGGAACAAATCCCTTTCACTTGAAAGTACCCTGCATAATTGTTACTCTATAAACTTGCATGGAATACAGAATGATTGTCAATTTGCCATACTTAATTTCTTTTCTTTTCATTCATAAATCTCCAACATTTATGCAGGGTAATTATAAAAATAAGAGCATTTAGGATTTTTCTTTCACTGAAAGCATTGAGAATAAAAGCTTAGAAATGCTATACACAAACAATTTGTTTTGAATCTGCTTATTAAATGATTCAGATTATAATGAATTTATAACAAACTTATTTACAAGAGCGGTCATTTGTGGCATATGTAATACATTTAAATATTTTACTTTCTATTAATCATTTAGGCAATAACTAAGAAACTGTATATACCAAATGTTTTAAATAAAAACTTTAAGATGGCCTCTATTTTTGGTTGGTCAAAACACCTGCAAGATTGGTTGAAACCAATGAGAATTGCTTGTGTAAATATCATTTTAGTAGCTTCAGAAATGGAGCTGCGACAACTTTGGAGCACTTATAAATGGCATAAAAGCATTCTGCTGCTCATCATAGAATGTGTAGGCCAACAAGAGGTATCTTTGAAACCCCATGCTTATTAAAGCACCCTCTACAGCCCTCACGTACATACGATTCCCACTGACCTCAATGGGAAATCCACATACGTAAGGGCTGTTGGATTGAGCCCTATTAGAGTTGTTTTTTAAGAAACAAAGCTGTAAATTAGCAAACCTGGTTGGCTGTGGCTGTTGCAGCGAAGGGAACACTTGTGGCAGATGTTGTTGCTGCGGACACAGTGGCTGGCGTAGCACCGTGCACCATGGGAACTTTCGGAGGGAAAATCATATAAGCGAACATACAGAAGAGTGTAGCAATATGGAAACCATGGCAACATGGAAGAGATAATTGGGCATGGTATTTATCACAGCAATAAGCCATGTGACAGGACATCATCACCAGCGAGTGACATGCAATCACAGCGCAAAGCAGGACAACATTCCAAGGAGAGAAGGGGAGGAGGGATGAAAGAGAAAAAAAAGGGGGAAAAAAGCTTGTTACCATCAAATCAAGAAAATTGACACAAACAGGCTTAATATGCTAAGTCAAAAACAAGAATTTTATATAGTGTTCATAGTCAGACATTCAAAATCTAAGTCAAAATACAAGTATTTACTTCATATATACAGTTATCTGTTTGAATGAAAGTATTTTTTTCTCATTTACTATTATAAAAATATACAGTATATTACTTTCATGAAATAGATTTTTTTTACACACCAGAACTCATAGTCCAATCAAAATCCACCAAAGGTGACTAAAGGAAACTCGTGTGTGTAAAGAAAACGTTTATGTGAGTCCATGTCAATTAAATAGAAAATGGCATTTAATTGACAGGTGTTAGTAAAGGGGAAATGGACTTGCCCAATAGATATAAGTTAAACTTAGCAGTGGATTTTGAGGGGCTGTGAGATACATCATAGGTTTAAGATAATCAAGAAACAAAGCTGGCACCTACCAACACTTGTAGCGGGTGTCATGCACAATATTGAGCCTGCCCATCATGCATTGCAACAGGAAGGTGGATTTGAAAAGGGAAAAGAATTAAAACATCCCATCACACGTGTAATTAGAAAATTCATTTGAACAAAGAAGAAAAATTGTTATTATGGGAACAGTGGCATGTAACTGTCAGCACAATCAAATCATACAATAGCACAGTGATCAATTAGAACTAGTCTCAAGTGAAGAATAAAAGCCAGTTTAACTGTGTGCTGGTACACTTTGTTTCTCTTAAGTGTTGCCTATAAACAAAAGTATTTTGGAAGTAATTTAAATCCACTTAGTTCTTTTAAAAATAATATTGTAATTTGTTTTGTTTTAATCTGATTACTAACCATCTGGTCATTTTGCTATTTCTGACTTTAACTTATGAATGCCTTAACGTTTTCTTCATATCAGGCACATATTAACTTATTAAAGATATTATTTATTATTAAATACTAAATAATTCAATGTACAAAACTGACTTAACAATATAATGAAACCCAAACATTCATTTTCATTCTTTTTGTTTTATTTTCCTGTTCATTTTAGCAGCAACCACATAAACACGAAAGGGGTTGTGATTATTCATACAGGATTTGTATTTGGAGGGTGCCAAGCAATAAATTTTACATAAAACAGTGAAATTTCTGCATTTCCTTCGTTTGAAATTAAAATGTAGGAAAAGCCTTAAGGGGGAATATAATTTCTTATAAATATCAAATTGGTTTACTTCATGGTATCTAGGAAATCAGAGTGGTTTTCATTGCTGTTTCAGACCTTCAAGACTTCTGGGAGTAGCAAATGTTCTACAAAATTTCACACACAAGAAACTGCTAATTAGACTTCAATAAAAACCTTGAGTGGGAGATAGTGAAGATATATACATCACATATGGGGTGTTAGCACTGATGCTGACAATTGTTCAACCATGATAAGCAAAAATAAATGTTGCAAATATAGATAGTCCTTGTTCTCTTTGACATGTAAATATTGAAAATATAACTTATTTTACCAAGTACAAGGCACTTTCCCATATGCAGAACCACTGTTCTTTCTATGGGATTATTTTAGAATTCTAGGTTTTAAAATATCAAAGGATTTTATATTTCTATCTAAATCTTGGCATATCCTGTTTAAATACTAGCAGCATCTGGGACGAACATTTGTTAGAAAAATATCTGCCAAATGAATCTTGTCAGAGATGGCCCTATAAAATAAAGCTGCCATTGAGAAACTCAACTTAAACACGGATTACTTAACTGGCATCCCTGTAACAGCTGCAATTAGTTTGTCATCACAATTAGACTATGGGCACAGTGATCAATGATTAAACTCTGTAATGAATCTGGGGACACATCCTATCAAGTGGAATAATATTATATTGACAAGCATTAAGACCCTTGAAGATCTCTGTCATTTGCTACTACTACTGAGTCAAAGACTTGTGAAAGACAAACAGAAACAAGCCAGTAATAACAAAGAAGTTATAATAATTTGAGACAGTAGAGCAAGCAAAACTTAATACCAGATTTACATCTTATAAAATCATTACTGTCTTAATGGTAGGGTGAGAGAATTGGAAAAGAAATGATGAATGATAAAGAATAATGTGATAAGTAATATTAAAGCCAGTTTAAATATTGTACAGGTTATATGTTTCATTATTTATTATTATGCTGAGACTTGCCTACTGTATTTCATCCCATGCATAATTAAGCCTGCACATGCTGAAAATGAGTTAACCTTATACTATCTCTCTAAAACCCTAAAGCTATTATGATTTGAATTTTAGTTTGAGTTATCTTCCTCATTACCATTATAACCAATGCACACAGTTTTGAGAGGCATTTGCAGCAAATAAACATAAGGCAGCAATGAAAATACTAGCCAGGGTGCAATAACTCACAAATATGAGGACATAATGCTGTAGGACCCACTTACCAAAAACGAAAATCACTTTTGAAATGACCTTGGTTTCCATCTTTACTTTACATGGGTTGATTTACTAATAATAATGTGCAAATGGCCAATTTAAATTTTTCCTCCATTTTCAGCACAAAGCAAAATTTAAGTGAATGTATTTGTCAATTTCCAATTTATCCTACAAAGATATTTGCAGAGCAGAATGGGGTGCCTCTAAGAAATGTGTTATTTTAATTGCATGACTTTTTAAATCAAAAATTTTAATTGATATGTAGTAAAATGTAGGAAAAACTAGGATGATAATTTACAAATAAGATGTATGCATACTTAAAATTGCTCAGCATAGAAGGGACATAAGTAGAAGGGAAAAAAAGAATTGTAATGAAGATTTAGTTGGAAGTTAGAATTTCGATGTAATAATTCAGTCCTATTTAGGTTAATTATAAAAAGTATTAAGCTGATTAAGATCTTCTAAAAACAGTGTGTATCATTTTAAGACTAAAAGTTAACAATCAGTTGGATTATTCTCAAAATTGGTATCCAAACAAGCAGTACCTTCGTTATTTTTATTAATTATAAGTAATTTACTAATATACATAATTATAAATTATTAAATGTATTAATGATACTAAATGTGACAAATCTTTTTGTTTTTTCTTCTTTCTATAAACACAACCCTGCCTACCCCTGCCCTTAGACCTACACCACCACCTAAGAAAGTTTCCTGGCCTTTTGTTGCCTCATTCTTGGTAGAGTTGTAATACAAGCCAAAGTTGAAGTTGTTTAAAGCAAATGTATTTTCAGAACTGTTAACACTCAAAAGCTAACATTGATTGAGGGAGATATGCTAGAGAGGGAGACAAGAGGTGTGATTCTGAAGATGGTAGGTAAGCAAAAATAGTGTGATTAGGGCAGAGAAAAAAATTCCTCAAGATTGAAGTGGCAGGCAGTGTGCAGCTCCACAGGTAGTTGGGTAGGTAGCCTGTTCTTTCAGAATAGCCTTGCAGTCATCAGGCCCTCAAGGGCATGGGAGCCTGGAGGGCATAGACAAGGAAGCCTATATCCAAGGCAAGCACAGAACCTCTGGAGTACCTGTCTTCAAGAGCTCTCGCAAGCAGGGACAATGATCATATCAGCAGTGAGCAGCTGTGACTGATGAATGAAGAATGCATAGTCTGAGAATATTAGACTGCACAGGACCTCCATTTGAGGTAAGGTCAGGAGACAGAGGGAGCTGGGGGATGTCCTGAATTCCCAGTAATGCCTGTTATTTCTCTCAACCCAGGGAGACAGAGATCAGAGTTCAGAGCTAGACTTAATTTCAATGAAAACAAATGGTATAAAAGAAAGTGGTATTTCTTATACACCCTAATTTCTTGAGTGAAAATTCATACCTATAAAATATATAGATCCTAAATTATGTATAATATCTACAAATAATCAATCTGGTCCTGAAAAGGGAAGGTTAAAACAAGTATATATCTAAATTTGAGAAAACAAAACTTTAATATGAATTTAACCTAATACTTATATTTATCTTTAAATGAGGTATTAAGTGTGAAACACAATGGAGTTAGGTGATCAGTAAGGGCTACTTCCACTCTCCCAAATCATTTTTAAGGTCTTCGTGTAATAAGCTCATATATATTGAGAGATTAACCAAGTCAGTCTGACTTGGGTTCAAGTTGTACTTAAATCTAAACCTTACAAAAGCTGTTTAACTTGGGGAAAATCACTGTATCTTACTAGGCTCCAAATTACTCATTGGTAAAATGAAAATATTAATGCCAATCTTTTGGGCGTTGTGAAAAAAAAATGAGATAATATATGCAAAGCACTCAGTGCAGCATGAAACCAGAGCAACCATTCAATAAAATGTAACTCTTTTGAACAAAATGTGTGAAACAATCTGGCCTAAGGCAATACGGAATTGTAGGGCTTGGAACTGAAGGGTACAGTGTGTGTCCTATCTAAAGGATTTACATTTAGTCTTCATGTAAACACTCTTAAACAAAAATATTTCTAGATACTAGATTTTACCCTTGGGCCATGAGTTTGCAATCTTTCACATAAATACTGGTATGCAGTGGCATACATTATTGAATGAATAAATGGAAAGATGGGTGGATAAATGGGGGGATGAATAGATGGATGAAAACAGAAGGACAGAGGAAGGGAGGAAGGAAAAAAGGATAAGAGAGGAAAGGAGAGGGGAGAACAGAATGATAGGAGGATGCATGTATGTATGGCTGAATGATGCTTAGACGGGTAATGTCCATATTAAATCCAATTCTGCTCTTAAAGGTTAAAGCATGCAGTAATTTTTCTTAGTTAGCTGGCTGGTTTGTCACTGAACCCTGATCTTTTGCCAGCAACCTACTCTGTATACGCAGCCACCTGCTCTAAGAATTTAGCTAACCATGCTTCACTGTAATTTGAATAAAATGCATCTACACATCTGAAGTTATCATTGAAGCAACAGACTATAGACATCTACAATTCTGAGCTGCAAAAAAATAAAAGAACTCCATTTTCTTCCCAGTTCCAATAAAGCCTTCAAAGTGTACCTTCCAAATTATTAAATTGTGATCAGATCAGATTCCTTGATCATCTAATTCTGTATTATTTGTCTGTAGAACAACCAAACTTTGGAAAACGGCATTCCTTTTCTCCCAGGTATTAGACATGAGATTACATGTGAATTTGTGGTTAAGATACATTTCCTTTAGTTCTCAAAGGGTGTTTTTTAAAAACTGAATTGACAAAATTTAAATATTGAGAAATTTCACATATAAACTTACAAACGTCCAGAATATCTGGGAAAAAATCATAAGACCTAGCAACACTGTATGTCAGGGCTACTGTGTTAGGTTGTGCGGGTTTCTTACAACCAACCCTATAAGGCATATACACAATCAACTGTGGTTTACACAGTCTATGATGCAAATGGAGCCACAAAGGGTTTGCAGTGGATAGCAGGTACAACCTGCCAGGCAGACAATTCTCTAAGGCAACAAAAGGCAAAGTATGAACATTGACTATACTCTTTAGACTGAGTCTGTGCTCCCCTGTGCCACCCATACCCCACAGCTCCCAATTTATTTCTTGCTTGACTTGTGTTTCCTGCCTGGCCTCTGAGGCTTTTGCATTTACATTCCCTGCATTAGACTTCTTTCCTTTCTGACTGTCTGACAAAGTGGTGGGGCAGAAATAACGATGAGCTATCCATTTTAACCTTTTCAGGTCACAGGGTCAATTTTTGTGCACGCAGGTACATATTATATAATGAAAATATTTTCAAATAATCATGGAGTCACTACCTACTTCTACTTCTGATTATGTGATTAATAAAGGTCAACGTGCTGCTTCAGGCCCTTAAAACTGAGTTGCAAATAAATGTTATTTTATGTTGCTAACGCAGTAATTTCACACTATATTGATTACATTTGAGAAATGTGTGTGTGTGTGTGTATATATATATATTTGTTATTGTTTTGTATGTTTTTTTTTTTGAGACGGAGTCTTCCTCCTCTGCCCAGGCTGGAGTGCAGTGATGTGATCTTGGCTTGCTGCTCCGCCTCCCTGGTTCAAGCGATTCTCCTGCCTCAGCCTTCCAAGTAGCTGGGATTACAGGCACGCATCACCATGTCCGGCTAATTTTTGGATTTTTAGTAGAGACAGGGTTTTGCCATGTTGGCCAGGCTGGTCTCCAACTCCCGACCTCAAGTGAGCCGCCTGCCTGCCTCCCAAAGTGCTGGGATTACAGGCGTGAGTCACCATGCCTGGGCTATATTTAAGATACATTGATCAAGACTGGAATATCTCTGATGCAAAATGCATCGTAATAAATGCAAATATATCTAAAATTTTTTCAGCGTATTTCAATTAATGCAGATTTTATTTAAATTAGCAATGCTTACCCTAGCACAGAGAGACAAGTTTGATTCTGATTTATGAATGAGTTTATTTTCTCTAATTTGAACTTTACCTAGCATCTTTGGCTCTATTCACAGACAAAAAGCGATTCTAGGGAGACACTAGTGTCACAAGTAAGGGTCATCAAAAACCTATTCTAGGGAGACACTAGTGTCATCAGTAAGGGTCATCGTACCATGCAACTGATGGTTATACTTATTTAGAAAAAAAAAACTATAGTCATTTGAGTGTTGTTGAAAAAACTAACATGAAACCTATTTGATAAAATAGATTATTTCAGCTTTCTTTAAATAGCATAGATTTGTTTTTCAGACTTTAGTAGAGAAACTATCATATTTTTTAAGACTAGCCAAGTACAGTAGTGAGAAGAGGGGAATGAGTAGAACGAGAAGTTCAATCTGTAACTGACTGTGAACAATCAACTGAGATAACTCACTACCATTGGTCTAGCTGAAACTGTCATTTCTCATGGTAATGTTTTAGCCAATAAAATAAACTGACAAAAATAAGATTTAATTTCTTCAAAGAGATTATGATAGCTACATATAATCTCTTGAAACTTTGCTCATCTGACTACAGAAAAACTGATGGATTATTTGTTGGGGGCAGTGAAAATCTGGGGACACAGCAACTTGCACAAGAGCAAAAAGATTAATTTCTGAAAAACTATACATGTTGAGAAGAAAGTTATAATACTACAAAACATAAGAGAAATGTGAGACTACAGGTCAAAATGATTTAATTTTTGTTCTAATATGAACAAACTGCAATTTGAAAGATACTATTTCAGGAGTACAAATATCATTTTATCCATGTGTCTGGGGCACTGGCTATTTCAGCTAGTGGAATATTCTAGTTAACTGTTACCTCATGTTTATTTTACATATGGATGACTGATTTTCAAAGATGTACTACATAAAAAGTTATGGTTAGTATTAAAAACTCATATAATTTATTCTTTTGTTCATGAATCAAAAACAAATTCATATTCTCTCACAGCATTATGAACCTAATACACTGTAAATACTGCCAATATAGTCTAATATAAAATTGGGAGCTGGATTTTTGACATATCTATCTAATCATTAATTTAATTAATAAAATATTTTATTAAGTAAGTCTTTTACCATGGTATTCTCAAAATAAGAGTGAAGCAATAAAGAGGAAAGTGAGATTAGAGTTTCTGGTTAGTAAAATTCCAGATAATAATAAGTTTATATGTATTTTCTGAAATAAATTCAGAGTGAATAAAAAGAGTAAATTTCCAGGTAATTAAATGAGTAGCTAGTCTGTGTTTTAAACTTTGCAATTTGTGTGAATAATTCTAGATTATGTATACATTACCAAATTGAAAATAAGCTGAAACCACAAATGTAGAACTCCATAATAAATTAAACATTGAGGAGCACTTAGGGCTCTTTCAATATTAGCTTAGAACAGTCAAAATTTTAAGCAGTGTACTGATTGATGCCACTAAGAGCCCTTTTTAAGAGCTCTAGAACACATAGTTTTTTTTCATTCTTGACCTTGAAAACAAAAAGGCTGAAAAATAAAAATCAAAACTGAAAGTGTTGTTTTATATAATTTAAATTAACTCTATGGAATAATGAAGGCAAAGGGGTCTTACAGCAAGAAAGTATCATAAAATAGCTTGACAGACATATAACAGTGTGGAGGAAAGAGAAAAACAAGAGAACTATATTTCATTTCCAAATTACACAAACACATATAAATGTATAAAATACCACTGATCCTTAATCCATATTTCGTTAAGCTAAAATCCTTACTTTTTAAGGAAAACCACATGAGACACCTCAGATAAGTTTCCATCATTGACCACCTTACCTGACACCTCATCTATAATTACAAACAAACTTGGGGTGTGGTTTATCTGCTCTAACAGTAGGACTCTCTGTAGATCATCAGATTCATTTATTAAGAAACCCCACCCCTTACCTGGTGGGAGAAACGCTGTATGCTGTTGTAACTGCATGTTGGCTAGAGCCTGTTGGTATTGGAAAATACCAGTGTTAAAGACTGCGGTGGCACCGTTGGTTTTTTCAAGAGCAGGCCTCTTTGGTAATGGGGGAAGTACAGCTTGAGGAATTCCCTGTTTAGTGAATGAGTATAAAAAACAAATACCAGTAAAAAGAGAAAAAGAAAAAAGAAAAATCAGTCGAAGGCTAAAATTGTTAGGAAGCATGAGCAAGCAAGCAGCAGAGCACTTAACTACCCGAGGGAAAAAATCCAATGAATAAAAAATTAAAGAAAAAAAAAAAAAGCAAGATAAAAGCTTTAAAGGAAGCATTATTTTTGTCCAAAACAAAATCTCACTAGTACAAGAGCACATGTTATAATGTGTTAAAGTGCTTTAGGTCCCATAATGCTTCAGGCTTTCTATGAGAAGCCATTGATTTGGGAAAAGAGGAAAAGCCGCACTGCGAGCTCCATGAGGATTGACAAGTATAAGCAATGTTAATAGTTAATTGTACAGAGTGACTGAAACAGATAAAATAAAAACTAACCCACTGCTCCTCCCCCCAGATCTACCTAGACATGCAAATGTCCCAGAGCATGCAAGTTTTTTTCCTTAAATACTGGACTATAAATATTAAAATGTAAATAATTCTACCACTAAAGCCATGCTAACCAAACAGGTACATAAATATACAGTCAAAAATACACTCTTTATGTCCTCCAACTATTTCTTTAGAACATTCTACAATGTAGTTAAACTGAATGTGGGCTGCTGGGCTTTCAGAATCTTTTATTGTATGACATCCATCTATGTACTTAGATTATAGTCTTTCTACTAATTTTGTCAGGAAACCACACTCAGTTTTGTCATTGTACTTTATAACTCTATAACAGAAAAAAGGATATATATTTTAAAGTTGATTAAAAAAAAAAAAACTTGTATCTACAATAAAGCTACATGCCAAGCTAAAAGGTGAAAGGTCATAGTACCAGGTCAAAGGTTGCCTCGAGGGGTCGCTTCAGTGATTTGACAGCCGACTGAGTCTTAATTAGCAGGCAGCGAGCACATGATGGCAATGGGCCAGTGGGGTTCAAGCGCATTAACATAAACAGCAAGCAGAGGTGCATCATGGGGGCAGCAGTGCATTTTTGGGTAGGTGAGAAAAAACAAATAAAAAAACAAATCATCGGAATGCCATATACAACGAATAACAAGACTAAGCATGCACAATAAAGGCACTACTGAGTTGTTATTGGGAGGATAACTCCTCTTTGTAGTTAATTACAAACAAGATACTCTAACAGAAAAAAAAAGAGTGAAAGGAAGAGAGGAGGAGAGAGTCTGCCTTCTGTATTTTTGCTCAAGTATCCATAAACAAACACAGAAAAGATCTCTCTCATGATTAATATCACTGTTATGAAATACTACACAGTAACTTTTAAAATGAGTATTTCATTGATTTAAGTCACATACTTATGTAAAAAAATGACAACATTAAAACAGCTAAGCAAAGAACAAAGAATGGGCTCATTAAAATCAGCTACTAGATCACATTAAAATTTACCTTGAGAATATAGTTTAGTAGCTATTCTTAATGATCCAGTTTCTAACTCTTTGAGTACTGCTGTCTCTCTCCTTTCTATATAATGGCATAGTCAAGCTTCTCTAGTGTTACTATTATGTTTATGCCACAATATTATTTCAGACAATCTAGAGAGTTTACTACTCAAAATCCTGTAGCTAATTCTAAGAACAATTTTGTTGAACAATTCTCCTAAATAGTTCCAGATCATGTTATTGTTAAAAGCAAGATATATGTGAAGAAGAGCCTTGATGTGCAAAAGAACACACCAAAGGAAAACAATGGCTGATTAGATGGCACACAGAAATAAGAAGACCGAAAATGGCAATATCGTTAAATTGAAAAGGAGACAGGTGGTTCTTTACAAAGCAGAGATTTCAGAAACCCTACATCCAGAATAAGACAGATTAAGAGTTAGGCCAAGGGTAGGAGCAATCTGAACCATTTGAGGAGTTACCCTCACTTCTGTGAAAGTAACTTCTTTATATATTGTCTGGGATACCTGAACAAACATATCTTCAGCAATTTTATTTTAAAAAAGGTTAATAAATGAATAGCTTGTAGTCAGAGTTGCTCACTTTGCTTTTCTGACTGCTAACGAGGAGAGAGCTGATATCTCTACTCACCATGGCAGCTGCAGTGGCTGCAGCCTGTGCAGCTGCAGCCTGGTTGACCTGGTATTGGGCAGCCTTGATCTTGGCTTGCAAATGTGCAGGGGGATGAAAGTATTTGCACTTTTCCCGAGAGCATCTCCCTTTGATGTAATCCATACACACAGTGACTGTGTTGTCATTGGTGTCAATCATTGTGCTGTCAGCAGGATGAGCAAACCGACAATCATTTTCTCCTCTGTTGCAATTGCCACGTTGGTACTCTCGACATACCTATTGAGGTCATTAAGTACATGAAGTTTAGTCAACATGAACAAGAAGAAGCTTTCTGAAGATTTTAACTTAAAGTGCAAGACTGGTGATAGAAGGCTACAGATGAAAGGGGAAAAATGATTTTCAAACAAGGCAACAAAGTAACTTCAGCATTTCCTAGTTTAGTTACAAATTATAACTCCATTTCAGTATAAATGCCCATAAGAAAATACAGGTATAATATTAATTATGGTAAAAATACAATCTGAAATGGTGTTGATACACTTATGAATTGCAAAGGGAAAATAATAACCTCACAGTAAAGAAACATGGCAAACCTCACTTTAACCAAGTGATCAAAATTAATATCACCAATAATGAGACATAGTGACACTGTGTACCTACTGATACGATACAATGAGAAGGGCACACAATCACAGCAGATGTATTACTGCCTGAATTTAATCAAGATGAAACATCAGACGAAGTGAATGGAAAGATATTTTGCTTAATAACCGACTACTACTCTTCCAAAGTGTCAAGGTCATGCAAGACAGACTGAGATACTATCACAAGCTGGAGGATCCTGGAGTCACAGAAAGAATATTGGGAGGACAACTGGTAAAATTTGATTGAAGTCTGTAGATTGGTTGAACAGCAGTACATCAATGTTAATTTTTCTGGTCTTAGGAGAGATTTCACAGTTATGCAAGATATTAATATTTAGGTCAGTGAAGGGTAGACAGAAACTCTTGGGTCCATTTTTGCAACTTTTGTGTAAATATAAAATTATTTCCAAGTGAAAAATATACAAAATCAAATCTGATAGCTTTTTATGAAAATGTTTCCGGGAGTTATTTTTTGATCTTCAGAGATTCACTTGGTAGCTATATAAAGCAGTAAAAAAAGATTGGTTTTGTTATGTCTGTTTGTTTTATATTTGACAATTCTGTTAATTTTGCCACCGAGATCTTAGAGAAAAGGCGAAAACATTATTTCTCATTCATCTGCGCAATTTTGACTCTTACTATTTAAAAGCAGTCTTCATTCGGGATATTTTGACCCTTTTACCACAAGAGGGCCATCTAAAACACAGAATGTCCTTTTAATATTTTCCTGCTCTTCCTTCAAGCTTCAAGAAAACAGTTTTTAACTGTTCAAAAGTATCTTTTCACAAATAGCAAACGCAGATATTAAGCACTTTATTTTGAAGTTAAGCAAGAAAGAGAAACTGTAACCCTACGATAACTTAGGAAGTAAAGGTTTTCTTGGATTTACATAAATAAAATGATTGTATTTAAATTTGGGTGTTTTCCCCATATTATATTCATATTCTATTACTGAGGAAAGTGCTTCTTAAAGAAAGAGATACTATAATCTGTACCACGCTACATCTTAAAAAAGAGCATTATAAATGATATCTTGCACTACTTGGAAACTTCAAGCTAGCTAAAGTTTTGTGTTCCAAATACATACAATGAGCCAGTGTCATTCATCACCACACTCAAGAGTTATAAAGAACACAAAAACGACTTTAAAAGTTATTCAAGATTCTGGGTTTTTTTTTTTAGTGTATTTATCTTATTGAACACACCAAAAAATTTATTACCAAGATTTATAACTTAGAAAGCAAAAATGATCAAGCTGTTACCCAGAATAATTATCCTCCTCTCTGGCTGAACATTAGCATCAGCTATGGAGCTTGCTAAAACAGTACTCAGTACCTAATCAAAATTTACTGTATGTGAGGCTCACCACTACACTCAGGAAGAGTATAGTGCCTACCTTAAATAATGATAAAAAGTTTTATGTGTGTGCGTGTGTGTGTGTGTGTATGCTAAATGTACACTACTGCATAAACAAAAGGGCTACTTTTCTGTTTAAGCAAATCTATGTCAATGCAGGCATCACCAAACAGGAAACTCGCAGAAGGTCTATAAGTGATCTCTCTCAGCTGCTGTTTGCTCCTCAGTAATTCCTGCTTTCTTGAATATGCTCAAAATGAACTGGCAGCAGGGAACTAACACTCTATTTTTCCTATGTAGTTTATTCTTTCCCACATTAACAATAAAGAAGACCTGAAGTTATTTAGGTTCTGTGTGTATATATTTGCATGTGTGTGCAGGGGGTGGGGTTCTACAGGTTAAGGATTGGTTTATTATAATCTCACATTCTTTACTCTCCTGTGAGACATTTAGAAAGAATTCTACAAATATTTAAGCAGAGTTAATAACTAAGAATTAGCTCAGAATGTGTCATAAAACCAACCTTTTTTGCGGTTAAAAAAACTTAGTCAACTGCTTTTGCATAATATGCATGTTTGACACTTTCATATTTTTATTTTTTTGCAGCTTATGGTTTTTCCTGATGTAAGAAATGGGACAAAAGAAACATACTGTAATAGCTACTCTCACATTATTCTTGCCTTTGAAAAAATAAAGAAGAGAAAATCTCTTGTGAAAACTTGTACTGGTGAGAGGTACATGCCAGAGGGACTGGAAATTTACCAACCATTAGATGTGCATCTGAATAGTGGGGTAACTGTGGGAACAAGAACTTCCCAAAGCTTCTAAAACACATTTTTCCTAATAGACATCATCAATAAAATGGGATCTATCTCTTGGTTGCTCAGTATGGGTTTGATCTGGTTTCTCTGATAAACTCAAGGACACTTTATGCTGATCCCCAAAATAAATGTCTTAGACATACTACTACATTAGCAAATTATAATTGACAAATTATATAAATTCAACAAATTTAATCTCATAATTAAAAACAGGATAAGAAATTATGACATTTATCATAGAGAATTTGAAACACAGAATGTAAAATTAAATCTGAAAATTCTAACAACATTGTGGCTCATTTTTCTCTTCTCATCCAGTCTTCTGTATGTATACACACATTTTAAAAAACTGTATAGTATAGCTATTATTTGGTGACCTTTTATGCTCAACGATGCAGCATAAGCATTTTCTCATTTTGCTAAATAATTTCCAGAGTGATCACTTTGGATGGCTGCATCAAATTTCATCAAATAGTGTACAAAATACAGGTAATTCTTTTGGAGGATATCTAGATAATTTCCAGTATTTCCATATTACAAATAATATATCCATGACTATAGGCATTTTTCATTTTTGGCAGATAAATATACAGATTTATCTGTACATGTATATGTACTGGGTCAACATATAAAAATATTTTGTGACTGGGCGTGGTGGCTCAAGCTGGTAATCTCAGTACTTTGGAATGCTAAGGTGGGTGGATCACTTGAGGACAGGAGTTTGAAACCAGCCTGGCCAACATGGTGAAACCCCATCTCCACTAAAAATACAAAAATTAGCTGGGCATGGTGGCAGGCGACTGTAATCCTAGCTACTCAGTAGACTGAGGCAGGAGAATCGCTTGAACCTGAGAGGCGGAGGTTGCAGTGAGCTAAGATCGTGCCACTGCACTCCAGCCTGGGTGACAGAACAAGACTCTGTCTCAAAAGAAAAAAAAAATGTTCAATAAATGGTTTTCAAACCTACATTAAAATAATAAAATCTATTTAGCTACACATGTAATGTGATTCAACATGAGCCTTTTACTCTACAAGTACTAAGGCAAGATTTGCCAATGAAAATATTCAATGAAAACATTTAAGTTCTAAATTCTATTTCCAGAAAAATATTTATGGAATAATTATAAACTTTAAATAACCAAAATAAAACATAGGAAGATTTCCTAAGAAAATGTAAATTAATTCTAAATAAACCTTCTTTTGTTAACTAAATAGCAGTAATATAGTAGACAGACAATAGGGTTTGTAGTCAGAAATTATGAGTTCCAGTTCCTATCACTTTACTAGCTATGGAATCTTCATAATGAAAACACTATTAACATCTATTTAAAAGGTCATGAATACTGAATAAAATAATGCACAGCTTATAACACATCATACAAATCTGGATAATAAGAATAATCCTGTCATTTGATCTCTAATTTTTTAATACATGAAAAACATATTTCAAAATGGTCAAAATAATAAGTTTTATAAGTAGTATTAAATTCAGCAATGCTCTGCAAGTTAAAGCACTGGGATTCTAAGGAGATTAATGTCAATATTCGAATTTATTCAAAACTGGAGAGTAATTTGCATGTTCTTTAAGGAGATATCCCTTTGAAGTAATATGTTTTGTGCTCACCATATTTGTATAATTAACTCAGTCATCTTGGAGAATAACAATCAAAAGCAGGAATAGAAAGCTAATTATAAGAAGAAAAGGGACTTTGTCCATTTTAACATTTTGAGAAGTCAATTTAATAGTTAATGGCCAATATTAAGAAATATATTCAAAGACATATAGCCACATGTTCACCAATAAGCAGCATGGACTTCACTTTCTATTAAGCTGGAACTAACAAGCTAAATTTTTCTAAGTATTACTTTAAAAAGTAATCCTGCATAATCACTTTGATCAATCACTTTGATCAAAGGGTTCACAACATTATTCATCATGAATTTATAATTTAATGCAAAGAAATTATCTCTATCTTCATTTTAAAAGGATTAAAATATCCACTTTGTAATCCTCATAATTCTGGTAATTAGGTAAATATAACTGTAGTCAATTTATTGTACAATTAAAATCCCTAGATAAATATCAGATGATGTGATTTCTAGTTTCAGTTGGTGATATGGTTTGCCTGTGCCTAGCCATGTGAAACTGTAAGTCCAATAAACCTCTTTCTTTTTGTAAGTTGCCCAGTCTTGGGTATGTCTTTACCAGCAGCACGAAAATGGACTAATACAGTTGGTTATTCAATAACTGTATATATTTGATCAATTTTTCTCCTTCCAAAAAAAAAATCAAGAAAAAGACATCTACTTTAACTATCTCATAGTATTTCTGTTAGGATCAAATGGGAGCATTCTTTGAAGTCTAAAAGACAGACTCCATCATTACTATTAGGGCCAGAAAACACAAGCATACTTCTATAGGTAATGGAACTAAGAATCTACCACTTGATTTCAC